GCCTGAGGCAGAAGAATAGCCAGTATTGGAGCCGTTACCAGGAAACGTCTAGTAACAGACTGAGAACACTAGACTGTATGCTCTTGAGAACAGTACGATGTGGAAAGAGTGGGAATGTTATAGTTATTTGTAGTTATGAAATGTCAATGGCCAATAAATCTACTGGCAAATGTATACCCCGTCTAAAGACACACACATACTACGTAATAATATGCAGTGTCTCACAGCACTCCCCTCTCACTTCTTCTTCTCTCTTTTCATAATTTGAAACAACCTTCCTTGTTCCTCCACGTAGTGTATTATCTTCAGATTTCAGGCTAAAATTATATATGCATTTCTTATGTCTCTACTGCATGCTACATGTAAGATCGTAGGCGGGCTCCTGTGTGCACGGAAATGAAATCTCGGCTTCCACGAAGATACGAAATTTCTGACCAGCTAAGCGACTGTAAGTTTCTCAAGAAGAACTCTGTTCCATATGGTTACCTGCTCACTGCATGGCAGACTTCGAAATGTGTACCCTACAGAAAATACACCAATTGGAAGAGAAAATGAGGGGGAGCCACGATTTAACATTAAGGTTAATTTCCTGCCAACGAAACCTGGAAGTGTACAATCTGTGTGAAAAGTAGCAAGCCCCGAAATTTGGGCAGATGAATGTAATCGAAGTGACCAGTCGCAAGCTTGTGGCTGTTACAATACGTAAAGTGCATCCACCCTATGAACCAGCTTGCGTCACGTCTTGTGTAGGCAAACTTGCAGAAGGAAAGTCCCAATTAAGTATGTTCGAATTTCCCACTGGTGTAGGAATACTGGAAGTATGAAGAAAATATAATATTTCTGCTGTATAATGATGACCTAGGCATGCACTGTCTTCGCTCGCTTGGAAACCGGGATCGTGGGTTCGAATCCCACTCAGGGCATGGATGTGTGTGTGCGTTTTTCTGTGTTTGCGTACAGGTAGAGGCCTTGCGACGAGCTGATCACCCGCCCAAGGAGTCCTACCGAATGTGTAAGATCTAGAGAAACCGAAGTGAACAGAGAAGTGCATGGAGGTAGCCCTAGGCCCACTGGGGCTGTAATGCCAACGAAAAAAAAATGATGACCTAACGGTCTACGTTACTAACGATGACGCAATCGCGTTCCTATAGCAGATGGAGTATACATGATGTGGCTTGAAACTCACTCTCGCAGCTCAAACAACAGTTTGCCTTTGTTCTCGAACTTCAGAATTTTAAATATTTGCATACTTCTAGTAAACAATGCAAACTATTTGAAAAGCAAAATATTCAACTCATTTTTAAAAATATACGTTATTTCTATGTAATAAAAACTCAATCAGAGTTTACCTTAATTCGTAAACAATGAGAAATTTTATAAAGTTAAATTTTCTTAACTAGCTTTTCAAATAAATGTTTCGTCAATACTGGCTAAAAATACATTGTATTAACTTAATTATCAAGGACCAAGGAAGAGGAGATGATAAGAGTGTGTAGCACGCATGGGCGACAAGGGAAATTAACTCCATATCTTAGTTTCTTATTATCTGTCAACAGAAACAGGAATATAAGCCTCAGAAATCATCCAATTACTAGGCAACGGCAAGGCAAATATGTCTCTCCCGTGCAGAGGCTATATAAGAGTACCGAATGGAGTTCATTTTGGCGTCAAGCCCCTTGAGGCTCACGATTAGAGATTTTTTTTTCCCGACTGAACACTTGCGGTCATGGTCCCTATGTAACATCCTCTCTGACGAGAAGATGGGTTTCTCTCTTACGATTATGCTCGATCTTTCGTCAAGTGTACGTATCGCGCATTACAGTAATTTTTATCTAACCCTCTAACAGACCATGGAGGTCCATAAGGTTGTGAGACGTCGAGGCCCCCACATTTTCTCTAGACAATCGGCTCGCAGATGGAGGTGAGGTTCTCAGCCTTACGCATCAAGGTATCCTTGAAACAGGCCGTGAAGGCCCTTAGGGTTGTGAGACGTCGAGTCTCCCACATCTTCCCTAGGCAACCGGCTCACAGATGGCGGTGAAGTTATCAGCATTACGCGCCGGCCGTCCTTTACCCCCAGGAAGATTCATGGTACTCATTTATGTTAGAGGTTGAGGCGACTCCAGGGCCATAGCGAGGCTGGAAGGATTAGGCCAATCAAAAAGTCCAATTACCTCCTTGGGAATCGAACCGACGATCTTCCGGCTTGTAGCACACTGCCTCAACCAATTACGCTACCGCGTACCTCCCCACATATAGCACTTTATACCAAATCCTCTATCAGTACAGGCTTTGCAAAGCAGATCACGCCTAGCTTACGTATCTTATGCTACAACGGCAGCTTAGTCACTTGAGCGGTTTAAGCTTGACCACCGCAAAGTTTAAGCCTCTTATATTCCCTGAACAGTATTAACCGGCGGGACTTTACAGCGGAGACGTAATATGTTTCCTGTGAGGTACTAACTGCTTTTGTATATATTATTTAAAAGATATTCGGTCTTTAGTGGGGATAAACAGGAATGAGAGGACCCGCCAGAACCGTTTACAGAGTAAGAGCACATTTCCGAACTTCATAACATTTACCCATAATAATGTACTACAATAATCACAAGGAAAAAGAATTCAATTCCCAACATTTGTGTTGCCATGGAAACCAAAATGTCTTTCAGGTGTTCGCCTTCAAATGCAGCCAATAAAAATACCCTTCTACGTAACACAGTCTTTGTTTGTCCTTGTCGCTTGACTTACATTGAAAACAAACTTATTTCTGGCTGGTTATTTCCCGCAACAGTTTTCCGTTATATTTTCCTAATCGATTTTCTATAAATCATATGAATGATTTATGGAAAGTTTGTGGGAACAGACATTTCCATTTCTGGGCGTCGGGGAATTCCCCCAGCAGAAGCGAATGCTATGAGTAGCTATAACAATATATTTCAGAATATAAACAGAAATGTCAGAGGCGCGGTTAACAAAAGAACAATGTAATATGAAGACATCTCTCTGTAGCAACTTCACAATAACAATCGGCCGAGCACGTTGGCTCAGTCGATAATGCTTCCTACGGTGAAGGTTCCGTATAAATTCTTCCCTGTGCTTAACTAAATAATCACTATGCCATGAAGCTGTATGGGGGGGAATGGATGTATAGGTCCAGGTATTCTTGACCTTGGCAATAGTTGGGAGTAGTCAGCTTCACGCCCAGGCCGCTTTTCCCCCAGCCCGCGTAGGATAGGGCAATACAGATAATAAATCAAATGCATGTGTCCTTGTTTGGGCACATTTCGATCTAACTGGCCGTCCGCAGAATACGTTGTATAGCAAACAAACTTACACAACATGGCGTTCCAATTCAATAGTTCACATATTAATCATAAAACTTGTAAGCTAATGAAACAGAGACGAGGCGTGATGACATGCAAAGCCAATAAACATTTAACAAACTTGATTAACAGAAAACATTACACCAAAATGTATCTCTTAATAAAGTCACACAGCTTTGTCCTCTAATTCAATATTTTTTCCCTTGTATTCGAGAAGTTCCTGGATCGAATCTGGCCTGGCACTACAGTGACAGGTGCTCTACGCGGTTCCCTTCAATTTCTTCTAGGCGAATACTAGGATAGTACCTCATATTAGTACACGATCGTTTCCTTCCACATCCTTTCAGGTTCATCATTCAATCATATTACCTCATGGGGGTGAGTATGAAGATTGCTGGGATGTGGTGCGTATTTAGTTGAAACTTAACGCTAGCTTGCTACTGGGGTTAATATTCTACCCTGAAGATGGCTGCAGAATCTTCCTACGAAACGTCCGTAAATTTCTATGCCAGAAAATAGTGGCTTTTATATTCACAGCCCCGAGAACCCGAAGTTCGTGAGTTATAAATGTAACAAACATTTCACAAGAACGGATTACAAATGTTCACGGTTTTCCATTCGCATTCAGTTTTGCCAACATAGCTACTGGCAGATCTTGCCATCTAGCAACGCTGTCAGTATCGAAACAATGTAACTGATGAATATTGAGCAGTTGGTGGAGGAAAACGAAATACTCGGGAGAAAACCTGTCCCATTGCCACTTTATTCACCACAAATCCCACATGATATAGGATCGAACGCGGACCGCCGCGGTGGGAAGCCGTTGATTAACCGCCTGAACAGACCGCTGTGGTATTCCACAGTATATATCTGCGGTCTGTAATTGCTGACCATAACGGAAAACATAGGTGGCTTCCCGATCAACGGAACCACTGTGGCCGGCAGCAGACTGTGCTTGCATTAGGAACGATTTCTACAGTTTCCAGATTAAAGTTTCGATGTATCATTTAAGTTTCGTTTTCACGTTTTTACGTGATAAGTATGGCGACATGCAATGCATTACAAATACAGATGAAATACTCCAAAGCTACATAAACAAGTGAAATTGTGACATCTTAAGAATGGTCAGAAAATATGTAAAGCTATCTCCGTAAGAGGCCGTGGAGGTCCATAGGGTTGGGAGACGTCGAGGCTCCCACAATTTCTAGACAGTCGGCTCGCAGAGTAGGGTAAAGGGCGGCCAGCACATATGGTTGATAACCTCACCGCCATCTGTAGGCCGATTGTCTAGAAAATGTAGGAGCCTCGACGTCTCAGAACCCTATGGGCCTCCACCGCTTGTTAGAGGGATAGTTTTACCTTTATCTTTATAACGAAATAAGGTAAGGTAAGTGTGAAGTTGCCCCTATGGCGAATTAATTAAAGACTACGCCATGAAGACGTATAGGTTAATGGGTATGTAGATCTACGTATTCTTGATCTCAGCACTAGTTGGAGGTGTGGTCAGCTACACGTCCCGGTTGTTTTAACCTTGGATAGGAGGCTGGGTGAACCTCAGTACCGGTCTGGACGCTGTGGAGAAGAGAGAAATCTTACTTACCGGGACTCGAACTCCGACGCCCTGCAACCCGTAACCAGTGAAACAGACTGCTCCATTACATATCCTTGAGTACTCACCACCGAAGTAGGCTAGCATGGCGGTAAGCGCGACGGACAGGAGTATGAGAGCAATGCTGCAGCACTTCCAGGAGCAACGGTGCTGGCAGCGTTTGTCGATGTGGAACCGTGAAGGCGAGTATGGTGAGTATGGGGACGGCGCGGACCGCAAAGGGAACACCGGCATCGCTATAGTGTTGGCGGGCGCCACCGACAACTGCGGAGGCGACGCCATCAGCTGCGGCGCCAACCTGAAAGCCACCAGAGTTACAGTTCCCTTCATTCACATCGGCCGTGACTGTACAATGTAGCGCTTTGTCCGGCAAGAGGTGGAGCGCGTACCACTGCTGACACGTGATGGTCGTCTGGATGGGATGACATGTCTACAAAAAACTATTCATTCACATTAAAAATTACTGATTCTCACTGATTCTGCACCAAAAACGTATTTCTACCAACAGAACTATATATACCGTAGCATGTAGAGACGTTGCTACGCAGCGACAGCGTGATGAGTAGATTCATCAGGGTTGTTTCTGGGAAACGGCTCGGTAAACAACAGCAACAGACACGAACGCAACAATAGAAAAGCTGCGTTTACTACGTGGTCCGTACTGAGATGTTAAAAGTAAGTGGCAAAGTTAGAGCTTAGTCAGTTCTGCATGGGAGTGTGTGAAGAAAGGACTTGAGCCGGAGTCAGAGGAATAGCCATTGTTGCAGCCGTTACCAGGCAACGTCTAGTAACAAATTGAGAACGTTAGACCTGGTTCAAGTGGTAATGACCATGCCTTGTACATGTAGTCTGGAGGTGTCCGATTCGAATCTCGGCAGGGACACCGATAACACCAGGACTCTACCTCCTACTGGTTAATTCATTATTGACTTGACAGAGTTATCACTAAAGCTAATATTTAATAAGTAACTCCGTGGCTTTAGTCCGCAGGCGAACTATACCGACCGAGGGACTGCCGCTTTTCGGCGAAGTTAGTACCAAACTTTAGCGGATAGAGGTTGTAGCGTGGTCAGCGCAACGGATCCCCACGGCCGTTAATTTCGGTTTTCTAGACCGGAGCCGCTATTTCCTTGCTATATCTCCTCAATTATCCTCACGAGGCTGAGTGGACCCTGTTCCAGACCCACTACTTCTCAGAAAATCTGGTAGCGTCATGGATCGAACCCGGATCTCTGGATATGTAGCCAGGAACTCTGACCATTAGACTACAGAGGCGGTCCCAACATTTAAGAAATTATATAAAATTCCGTCAAACTGCTTACGAAACAAAAACTTGAGATTTGAAACCTCGTCTACAAGGTCTAGAACCCCGAGTGATGACGCATGTTACTGGACAAATGGTGCTGCCTCCTACAGGGAGAAATGCGTATTGATGTACGGGGACGATATTTTCTCAGCAAGGGTTCAGATAAATCGTGTTCTCTCGTTAGCGCACGCGGTTTGAACCCGCTGATTGGGTTCATTTGTCTGACACGAATCGGCTGAGCTACTGACGGCCACCACCTGCAGCGGAGACTGGGCACAGCCCTCTTCAGCCAGCACATAACTGTCTGCAGTAATATCCAGTAATGAAACAGTGCACTTTATTAACTGTCGAGGTCCTTGGTTTAAAATATAGGCCCGAAGAAATGTTATTCCGGCTCAGATATTCGTGCTTTTCCTCAGTCACTCGAAGAAAATGTCGGGACACTACCTCAAACTGGGTCCCACCCCTTCATATCATATCCAGTTCGTTAGGTAAGCCGCACACCGGCATGCGTCAAGACATGTAACAGTCAAAACACGATGTCTGCGACATGACGCAAAGAAAGGAGCACAGTTGAAACGAATGAGATTATGAAAACCGCCGCACATCGGTCTGAGTCATGATGCTGACATCAGCTTCATGCTGACGAATCACGAATGAAGCAATACTGCGTCTTTTGTCTCATGTCTTGATGCTTGTCTTGACGCACTTGGTGTGCGGCCGCCCTTAGTCATCATCCCTCCATCCGACGTCATATTGTCGGGAGTGCTACAGCGTCGTTAAACAAACCATAAATAAATAAATAAATAAATAAATAAATTAGCTCCACCAGCTTTGACCTCGCCACTAAATGGAGATCAATGGTCAGCTTCACGCCCTTGGGGCTTTATCACCAAAGAAACAAAGGTACCCATTGGATAGGAGGCTGATGAAGAAATAAACTACAGTACATTATAACAATACAGTACACAGTACACATTAAGACCACAGTACTGAAACATAACAGTACACAGTGTCTAGAGCAACCTCTGAAAGTACAGTACCCAACACTCCACGGTAATCTTCAATAGTACAACAGTACCGTACTTTCTACAGAAATCTCCAAAAACACAACGCCACGCCGCTGTCTGCAGTAATCTCCAATAGTTCAACAGTACCCCACTGTCTACAGTAATCTCCAATAGTACAGGAGTATCCCACTGTCTACAGTAATCTCCAATAGTACAAGAGTACCCTACCGTCTACAGTAATATCCAATAGTACAGGAGTACCCCACTGTCTACGGTAATCTCCAATAGTACAAGAGTACCCTACCGTCTACAGTAATCTCCAATAGTACAGGAGTACCCCACTGTCTACAGAAATCTCCAAAAATACAACGGCACGCCGCTGTCTGCAGTAATCTCCAATAGTACACCAGTACCACACTGTATACAGTAATCTCCAATAGAGCAAGAGTAGCCTACCGTCTACAGTAATCTGCAATAGTACAAGAGTACCCTACCGTCTACAGTAATCTCCAATAGAGCAAGAGTAGCCCACCGTCTACAGTAATCTGCAATAGTACAAGAGTACCCTACCGTCTACAGTAATCTCCAATAGTACAAGAGTACCCTACCGTCTACAGTAATCTCCAATAGTACGAGTACAAACAGTATAGCATTTTCTACAGTAATTTTCAATTGCATATCAATACATATTAAAATACAGTGTTGGAATGTGACAGTTTAACGCACACCAAGCAGAATGGCAGCTCAATGCGTGCAATGTACCTCTCACTGTTTAGGGCTACTGAAAGAGCCGCGTGCCGGATGATGTACCAGACAGTGGGTAACTTAGATGAACAGTTCTAAACCAAATCACTGTAGGGGACATGAGACTTACACAATAATGGATATGAAGATTATCGTATATTGAGGTGTGATGCCGTGTAGTTTGGTAGATAGTCGGCAAAATTTCGCAAGAAACTTCAGCCTCCATCTTCAGGAGAGGTGAGTAAATTTAAAATGGGAAAGATATCACAAATATACTACAAAGGACCGGGGACGTGAGGTACCAAACTGAACTAAGAAGAGATCAACAAATCTTCGTGACCTGTAGTCCTCAAGCGAAATATGTGATCAAAGTTCCTGCCTACAGATACAGAGGTCCCGGCTTCGATTCCGGGCGGTACCAGAATTATTTAGTAGTTGGTCTGGAACGGTGTCCATTCAGCCTCGTGAGCATAGTTCAGGAGCTATTTCAAGGAAACAGCGGCTCCGGTATAAAAAAACCGAGATTAACGGCCGTGGGGATCCGCTGCGCTGACTACGTGACACCCTCTATCAGCAAAATTTCGTAGTTACTACTCCGACAAGCGGCGGTCGCTCGGTCGGTAAGAAGAGATATGTCTAAAGAGTACAAACTCTTTATAGGTCTCTTTTCGAAAGCCAGAATGAATGGAAGAAAAGATACGGGAATTGATTTTAAGGGCAGATTAGAGAGAAAATAAAGAAAAAGAAGATAGGAAATTATCTACCACACTCCACGATATCAGATGCAGGAAGAGATCTTCAACACTAAATTATTTTTATGCGTACTCCATAATCATTCAGAATATAGACATTGTAGTCACCCACGGTATGTGTTTATGCATGTATGACAAGCCGCGTGGAGCTACAGCCGCATGATGAGCTCCGGCGACAGTGTAGGCCACAGGTAGCGAAATATTTTTTTATACAGATGAGAAAAGCTAGGACAGAATTTGGATTTTACGTAGGGAAGGTTGTAACTTCCGGAGGTAGGAGGGTGGAGGGAAGTTCCCTTCGTAGTTTCTTCTCTTTGGGTAAAGTGAGCACACAAGTTCTGGCAGTACACCCACCTCTTCCTCTGGGGGAGCGGAGGGGGAATCCCCTCGTATCCAGGCGACGCGTTCTGCATCATCATTAGGAGTTCTGCGTCGGTCCACTTCTCTGGCTGACAAGATTCGTGTCCATCTCATTTCACTTCACTGGCTTCCGCTAACAGCACACGATTCTTCTCAGTTACACCCTGTCCACGTGCCTTACAGTTAACACATGCTTTACGTTCCTTCATCTTCAAAACCCGTCTAAACGCACATACAGTTCTGTAACGTCGAGTGAGACCTCTGAAATGATATAATTTCGGGGTTATTTTAGCGTAGAATTTTCCAACGTTGCACGCAAAGAGTCACGAATGAGCGAACAGTCTTTTGTTTCAGTGTATCATGTCTATTCTGTGAGTATTAATAACAATTTTATGTGGATATGTCTAGTGTAACTAATTACATGGAAGCCGCCAGTCGCTCATCTACTCAAGAACTTCCCTAACAATTTACAGAACCCGAAAGTACATCGTTGTGTTCATAACAGCCTTCCAATGGTCACTATCCTGAGCCAGATGAATCTAGTCCATACCACCTCATCCTACTTCTCTAAGATTCATTTTAATATTGTCCTCCTAGTGGCTCCCTATGTGAAGTGTAAGCAGTATTTATCATGGAATATTACTTAGTTTATAAGAATTTGGAATGTTCCTTTTCTTTTCGGAACTTGCACTTAGGAACTGCCCGTATGGAGCAGTTCACAGCTGAAGCCCAGGGGATACTTGAAACAACTATGTAACTATGAGGATGGCCAAATGCTCATACGGTTAGTTTACTGCGCATCTCCACGGACTGTACAAGACATGCCTGAGCAGAAAGTTGCTTTAGAAGTGCAATGTGTAGAATAAATTAGAAACGTTCTCTTTCGTGTGGAGCGCACGTTTTCAAAGAGCAAGGATGGTACAGTCTAAATATATACGAATCACAATATGATTTAATGTAATAAACTTCCAAATATTACTTCTTAAAATATTCCTATTCTATGTTATAATTTTGTTTATTTTTTATTTTTTTATTGCTAGTGGGGTGGGACTAAGTCCCTTGTACTGCGGTCACTTCTGGCCTGTTGTACCAGCCACAGATGATAGGTGAGGGTGATTGTGGAGCA